TTATCCTCTTTCGTTTTTTTTGTCCTTTTCGTCCTTCTCGTCCTTCTTCGTCCTTATGCTTTTTCGTCCTTCTTTGTCCTTTTTCGTCCGTTTTTGTCTTTTACGTCCTTTTCGTTCTTTTCGTCCTTCTCGTCCTTTTTCGTCCTTATGGTCCTTTTTTCGTCATTAGTATCCTTTTTCGTTCTTTTCGTCCTCATTATGCCCTTTCGTCCTTTCCGTCCTTTTTCGTCCTTATTATCCTTTTTCATCCTTTACCGTCCTTTTTTGTCCTTTTCGTCCTTTTAGTCTTTTTTTCATCCTGTTTCGTCCTTTTTCGTCCTCTTTATGCTTTTCGTCCTATTCCGTCGTTTTTCGTCCTGTTTCGTCCTTTGTCGTCCTTTTCGTTCTTTTCGTCCTATTGATGCTTTTTCGTCCTTTCTCGTCCTTTTTCGTCCTTATTCGTCCTTTGTCGTCCTTTTCGTTCTTTTCGTCCTTTTCATGTTTTTTCGTCCTCTTTCGTCCTTTTTTATCCTTTTCGTTCTTTTACTGCTTTTTTCGTCCTTAGTATCCCTTTTCGTTCTTTTCGTCCTTTTTCGTCCTTGTTATGCCCTTTCGTCTTTTTCGTCCTCTTCGCCCTTTTTCGTCGTTTTTATGCTTTTTCGTCCTTTTTCATCCTATTTCGTCCTTTTTCGTCCTTATTCGTCCTTTGACGTCCTTTTCGTTCTTTTCGCCCTTTTCGTCCTTTTCGCATTCTTTGTCCTTTTTCGTCCTTGTTCGTCCTTTTTCGTCCTTTTTTGTCCTTTTCGTACTTTTTCGTCCTTATTATGCCCTTTCGTCTTTTGCGCGCTCTTCATCCTTTTTCGTCCTTTTCATGCTTCTTCGTCCTTTTTCGTCCTCTTTATGCATTTCGTCTTTTTCCGTCGTTTTTTGTCCTGTTTCGTCCTTTGTCGGCCTTTTCGTTCTATTCGTCCTTTTTATGTTTTTTCGTCCTTTTTCGTCCTTTTTCGTCATTTTAGTCCTTTTTTCGTTCTTAGTATATTTTTTCGTCCTTTTCGTCCTTAATCCTTTTTTTACTGCTTTTTTCGTCCTTTTTGTTCTTTTCGCCCTCTTCGTCCTTTTTCGTCCTTTTTATGCTTTTTCGTCCTTTTTCGTCCTTTTTCGTCCTTATTCGTCATTTGTCGTTCTCTTTCGTCCTTTTAGTCCTTTTTTCGTCCGATTTCGTCCTTTTTCGTCCTGTTTATGCTTTTCGTCCTTATCCGTCGTTTTTCGTCCTGTTTCGTCCTTTGTCGTCCTTCATTTGTACAACACCCGAAACAAAGAAAATTTAGTTCCCAATTCAAATCGTTTGAAGAGGGTACAAACTGGCACAAGATACTTCGCTGTGAAATTTTTTAATGTGTTACCCGAAGAATTTCGTAATAAGCCTATTAATATATTTAAAAAAAAACTCAAAACTTTTCTTATTATGAATTGTTTTTATAGTTTTCAGGATTATCTTCGGTGTAAAAATTTTAATAGTTTATTGATTTAATTTAATGTGTTTGACTTGTGTAAAACTCTATTTGTAGTTTTGAACACCAATAAAGTATTGATTGATTGATTGATTGACTCTTTATGCTTTTCGTCTTTTTCCGTCGTTTTTCGTCCTGTTTCGTTCTTTGTCGTCCTTTTCGTTCTTTTCGTCCTATTTATGCTTTCTCGTCCTTTCTCGTCCTTTTTCGTCCTTATTCGTCCTTTGTCGTTCTTTTCGTTCTTTTCGTCCTTGTCATGTTTTTTCGTCCTTTTTCGTCCCTTTTTATCCTTTTCGTCCTTTTTGGTACCTTTTTATCCTTTTCGTCCTTTTTCGTCTTGTTACTGCTTTTTTCGTCGTTAGTATCCTTTTTCGTTCTTTTGGTCCTTTTTCGTCCTTATTATGCCCTTCCGTCTTTTTCGTCCTCTTCGTCCTTTTTCGTCGTTTTTATGCTTTTTCGTCCTTGCTCGTCGTTTTTGTCCTTATTCGTCCTTTGTCGTTTTTTTCGTTCTTTTCGTCTTTGTTATGTTTTTTCATCTTTTTTCGTCCTTTTACTGCTTTTTTCGTCCTTAGTAGCCTTTTTCGTTCTTTCGGTTCTTTTTCGTCCTTCTTATGCCTTTTCATCCTTTTTTGTCCTTCGTCCTTTTTCGCCCTTTTTTGCCCTTTTCGTTCTTTTAGTCCTTTTTTCGTCCTTAGTATCCTTTTTCGTACTTTATGTCCTTTTTCGTCCTTATTATGCCCTTTCGTCCTTTTCGTCCTTTTCGTCCTTTGCGTCCTTTTTCGTCCTTTTTATGCTTTTCGTCCTTTTTCGACCTTTTCGTTCTTTTCATCCTGCTGGTCCTTTTTCGTTATTTTAGTCCTTTTTTCGTCCTTAGTATCCTTTTTCGTCCTTTTGGTCCTTATTATACCCTTTCGTCCTTTTTTGTCCTTATTATCCTTTTTCGTCCTTATGGTTCTTTTTTGTCTTTTTTCGTCCTTTTCGTCTTTTTACGTCCTTTCGTCCTTTTTCGTCCATCTTCGTCCTTTTCGTCTTTTTCGTCCTTATTATTATTTATTATTATGATTGTATTTTTTATATTTTGTTCTGTAATTAGGGAAACCTGTGGGATAATAAACTCTTTTTTATAATTATGATTATTCTTTTTCGTCCTTTCTCGTAATTTTCGTCCTTTTTTCGTTCTTAGTATCCTTTTTCGTCCTTTTTCGTCCGTTTCTTCCGTGTCGTCCTTTCCGTCCTTTTTTCGTCCTCTTCGCCTTTTCGTCCTTTTTCGTCCTTATTATCCTTTTTGGTGCTATTTCGTACTTTTTCCTACTTTTCGTCGTTTGCGTCCTTTTGGTCCTTTTTGTCCATTTTCGTCGTTTTTCGTCCGTTTCTTCCGTGTCGTCCTTTCCGTCCTTTTTTCGTCCTTATTATCCTTTTTCGTCCTTTTGGTCCTTTTTCGTTCTTTTTCGTCCTTTTCGCTTTTTCGTCCTTTTTCGTCCTTATTATCCTTTTTGGTGCTATTTCATCCTTTTTCCTCCTTTTCGTCGTTTGCGTCCTTTTCGTTCTTTTTGTCCTTTTCGTCCTTTTTCGTCCTTTTTCGTCCTTTTTCGTCCTTTTCGTCCTTTTCGTCCTATTCAATGTTGGCAACCTATTGCCCATTAGAATTTGTAGTTTCATCTACTGCTATCCAAATATCGTGAACCCCAATATCTCTTCTAAATCTATTAATCACCTATACAAGTACATGCTGGTTTCCCGGCTTGAAACCGTGTTAATTGAGTTTTTGGGCTCAACGTTTCGCACAATTTCGTAGGTGGCATCTTCAGAAGCAGGGCTAAGAATCTCTTTTTGAAAGGTGTCGCCTCTGGTACGATTGACATACTGAGATACCGTACTCTTTACCCTTATTCTTAACCCTGCTCCTGAAGATGCCACTTACGAAAGTGTGCGAAACGGAAAACGATCATGTATTGATTCCGACCGTAGAAGCCTCCAAAATTATTACCTCTACAAGTACAATGTAAAATAACTGTCTAAATAAATAAAATAGTAAAAATTAGGATGTTCCCAATCTTAAGTTTCTATTACGTCATCGTAAACTGAGAACAAGTAATTATTTCGCAAAGTTAATTCCTCAGGAATGTTATTTTTGCAGTTTCTCTCCAAAAATACGCGGCAGTAAAAATTTTTCTTATGGTTTTTACTATGAAATGAGGAAATTAAACTTTGCCTAGTACCTTTAGCAAGATTTGTTTTTGGCAACAAGCTCCACTCCTCGGTTCACGACGAATAAAAAGTAACCACAATTGAGATGAGGGCGGGTGGGCGGGGTTTGTATTTTGCCATTTTTTCCAAATTGTACGTAGTTTTCTTTTCATGATAAGAAACTGAAAATATGTGTTAAATTTATGATTTTAAACACTTTTTCATTTCTTGTCTTGTTGTGAAAAAAAGACTATACGATTATACATATTAAAAAAAAAGCAAAACGTAAACACTTACAAATTTAAGGTAGCGAAGTGGAACGCCCTGTTTCATCTCCCCAAGTCTGTCCTTTCCACCAAAGGACTATTCCCTTTTTGTTAATATAGAAGTATTTAATATCGACGCCGTCCCCGTGCCTTTCGACCAAAGTGAGCAAAAAAACAGCGCAAATTCGAACAAGTCACTGCCACTTTTGTTCCTTGATATCCGCCTTTGTGCGGTGGTACAATGGAATTATTTTCTACGACCGTCCTTTGATGTCGCGTTTTTGCTAGACTGTAACGCAAAAATTACACTAATAATTTAAAAGCCGGCTGCAGTCGCTGTAGATTGTTCAGGCGACGTTTTTTTACCAACTTCATCAGTTCACAGACTGTTTAAATTGTTTCATAAATTTTAATACATTACCTGCAATAACTCGCTAAAAGTTGGCGGAATTTATCGCCCACACAGCGCATTTTACTCTCTGACATGCCTAATACTGTGAAGATTTACATTTAATTGCGGGATAGCTACGTATTCAAACAAAATTACTCGAGGAAGATTTCGTCATGCAGGAGTGTTAAGTCTGGTGGAAGTGTCTTAAAGCGGTTTATTGTATCGGATACGGTTAGGAAGAAGAATGGTATTATTATTTCGGGCTTAACTAGAACCGCAAGGACACGGAAGGCAACAAGGACGAAAATCGGAGACTGTCAACGTTTCAAAGTTAAATTGCAACAATTTTGTTTTTTTTTTTTTTTCGAAAAACGTAGATGTTTAGGGTAAAAATTCGACACGGATTCATAAACTACAAGTACAGGAGTATGTTATTCTATAAAATTTAAGTTACATTATTTTGTTGTTGTGAATTTTGTAAATCTATTAGTCTATTATTGCAATTTTTACCAAGTATAATAGGTACTTTGAGGTGCTATTGTTCCCTTTTATTAGAGAAGTTCCATTGTTAGATAAGCAAAAATCGATAGTGAACTTCCTTTGAACTCTATTAAATAACATTCTCAGCTTAGAGAAACCGTTAACACTATGTGTTTTTTTTTTCAGGAATGTCGAGAATGTTGCACTCCCGAACATCCACGAAATCCCCCTGCGCTGGCTAGATCTCTGCGATGAAGACCCGCTGACCCGACGCACTCTAGACTAGACCATGGAATACAGCAACCAAACCGAAAATGATAGCTTCGTCAACTGCCAGTTACTCCACCCTTCCAGCCCGCTCGCCTCCGTGTATTTCCAGAGCGCCGTTTATTCCATGTACGCTGTCATATTTGTGGTGGCGCTAATCGGCAACAGCTTCGTGTGCTACATGGTTCTGTCATCACCGCGAATGCGAACTGTAACAAACTACTTTATAATGAATCTGGCAATCGGCGATATGTTGATCACCATCCTGTGCGTTCCCTTCACTTCCGTGTCGCTTCTCAAGCAGTACTGGCCCTTCGGCAGCGTGCTGTGTCCTGTCGTCAACTACTCGCAGGTAGGGGGTGTGTTGTGCCATAAATATTTATTAAATTTTATAAAATAATATATTCGTGTACTTGTGGTCTATGAATCCGCTTTGATTTTTTATTATGATTACGTTACAAAACGCGATTTTTCTGACTTTTTAATTTTTTTAATCAAAAAAACGAAAAAATTGCATTATTGTAAAACTGAACAATTAAAAATTAAAAATGAAAATGTATAAAATGAAATTGGAAACCAAAAAGTTGGAAAATAGAAGAAACGAGGAATTGAAAAATCGTTGAAATCGAAGAAATGAATGCGGATATGAGAAAATGTATTTTGTAAAATTTCGAAAATTTCGTTGAAAATTGGTGGAACATTGGTGGTATTTTGCATATTTTCGTGTACTTCAAAGGACGATTCTGGAAAAACCAATGGAGTTATCGAAGAAATGAATGCGGATATGACTTCTACGGCCCGAGATCTACAAGAAAATGTATTTAGTGAAATTTCGAAAATTTTGTCGAAAATTGGTCGAAAATTGGTGGAATTTTGCATATTTTTGTATAATTAATGGGACGATTCTGGAAAAACCAATGGAGCTATCGAAGAAATGAAAACGGTTATTACTTCTACAGCGCGAAATCTATAAGAAAATGTATTTAGTAAAATTTCGAAAATTTTGTTGAAAATTGGAGGGAGATTGGTAGTATTTTGCATATTTTCCTGTATTTCAAAGGACGATTCTGGAAAAAACAAAGAAGTTATCGAAGAAATGAATCTGGATATCACTTCTGCGGCTCGAAATCTGCAGGAAAATGTATTTAGTGAAATTTCCAAAATTTCGTTGAAATTTGGTGGAAAATTGGTGGTTTTTGGCATATTTTCGTGTACTTCAAAGGACGATTCCGCAAAAATCAATGGAGTTATCGAAGAAATGAATGCGGATATGACTTCTGCGGCCCGAAATCTACAAGAAAATGTACTTAGTGAAATTTCGAAAATTTCGTTGAAAATTGTTGGAAAATTGGTGGTATTTTGCATATTTTCGCGTATTTCAAAGAACGATTCTGGAAAAACCAATGGAGCTATCGAAGAAATGAAAGTGGAAATGACTTCTGCGGCCCGAAATCTACAAGAAAATGGATTTAGTGAAATTTCTAAAATTTTGTTGAAAATTGGTCGAAAATTGGCGGTATTTTGCATATTTTCGTGTATTTCAAAGGACGATTCTGGAAAAACCAATGGAGTTATCGAAGAAATGAGGCTGGATGTAATTTCTAGAGGTCAAAATCTACAAGAAAATGTATTTAGTGAAATTTCGAAAATTTCGTTGAAATTTGGTCGAAAATTGGTGGTATTTTGCAAATTTTTGTATAATTCAAAGCACGATCCTGGGAGAATAATTGAATTTATCGAAGAAATGAAAGTTGATATGACTTCTGCGGCCTGAAATCTACAAGAAAATGTATTTAGTGAAATTTCGAAAATTTTGTTGAAAATTGGTTGAAAATTGGTGGTATTTTGCATATTTTCGTGTATTTCAAAGAACGATTCTGGAAAAACCAATAGTGTTATCGAAGAAATGAATGCGGATATGACTTCTGCGGCCCGAAATCTACAAGAAAATGTATTTAGTGAAATTTCCAAAATTTCGTTGAAATTTGGTGGAAAATTGGTGGTTTTTGGCATATTTTCGTGTACTTCAAAGGACGATTCCGCAAAAATCAATGGAGTTATCGAAGAAATGAATGCGGATATGACTTCTACGGCCCGAGATCTACAAGAAAATGTATTTAGTGAAATTTCGAAAATTTCGTTGAAATTTGGTCGAAAATTGGTGGTATTTTGCACATTTTTGTATAATTCAAAGCACGATCCTGGGAGAATAATTGAATTTATCGAAGAAATGAAAGTTGATATGACTTCTGCGGCCTGAAATCTACAAGAAAATGTATTTAGTGAAATTTCGAAAATTTTGTTGAAAATTGGTTGAAAATTGGTGGTATTTTGCATATTTTCGTGTATTTCAAAGGACGATTCTGGAAAAACCAATGGAGTTATCGAAGAAATGAGGCTGGATGTAATTTCTAGAGGTCAAAATCTACAAGAAAATGTATTTAGTGAAATTTCGAAAATTTCGTTGAAATTTGGTCGAAAATTGGTGGTATTTTGCACATTTTTGTATAATTCAAAGCACGATCCTGGGAGAATAATTGAATTTATCGAAGAAATGAAAGTTGATATGACTTCTGCGGCCTGAAATCTACAAGAAAATGTATTTAGTGAAATTTCGAAAATTTTGTTGAAAATTGGTTGAAAATTGGTGGTATTTTGCATATTTTCGTGTATTTCAAAGAACGATTCTGGAAAAACCAATAGTGTTATCGAAGAAATGAATGCGGATATGACTTCTGCGGCCCGAAATCTACAAGAAAATGTATTTAGTGAAATTTCGAAAACTTTGTTGAAAATTGGTGGAAAATTGGTGGTATTTTGCATATTTTCGTGTTTTTCAAAGCACGATTCTGGAAAAACCAATGGAGTTATCGAAGAAATGATTGCGGATATGATTTCTGCGGCCCGAAATCTACAAGAAAATGTGTTTAGTGAAATTTCGAAAATTTTGTTGAAAATTGGTCGAAAATTGGTGGTATTTTGCATATTTCCATGTATTTCAAAGGACAATTCTGGAAAAACCAATGGAGTTATCAAAGAAATGAAAGCGGATATGACTTCTGCAGATCGCAATCGACAAGAAAATATATTTAGTGAAATTTCGAAAATTTCGTTGAAAATTGGTGGAAAACTGGCGGTATTTTGCATATTTTCGTGTATTTCAAAGGACGATTCCGGAAAAACCAATGGAGTTATCGAAGAAATGAATGCGGATATGACTTCTGGGGTCCGAAATCTACAAGAAAATGTATTTAGTGAAATTTCGAAAATTTCGTTGAAAATTGGTGGAAAATTGGTGGTATTTTACATATTTTCGTGTTCTTCAAGGGACGATTCTGGAAAAACCAATGGAGTTATCGAAGAAATGATTGCGGATATGACTTCTGCGGCCCGAAATCTACAAGAAAGTGAATTTAGTGAAATTTCGAAAATTTCGTTGAAAACTGGTGGAAAATTGGTGGTATTTTGCATATTTTCGTGCATTTTAAAGGACGATTCTGGAAAAACCAATGGAGGTATCGAAGAAATAAAAGCGGATATGACTTCTGCGGCCCGAAATCTACAAGAAAATGTATTTTTTAAAATTTCGAAAATTTCGTTGAAAATTGGTGGAAAATTGGTGGTATTTTACATATTTTCGTGTTCTTCAAAGGACGATTCTGGAAAAACCGATGGAGTTATCGAAGAAATGATTGCGGATATGACTTCTGCGGCCCGAAATCTACAAGAAAATGCATTTAGTGAAATTTCGAAAATTTTGTAAAAAATTGGTGTGAAATTGGTGGTGTTTTGCATATTTTCGTATATTTCAAAGGACGATTCTGGAAAAACCAATAGAGGTATCGAAGAAATGAAAGCGGATATGACTTCTGCGGCCCGAAATCTACAAGAAAGTGAATTTGGTGAAATTTCGAAAATTTCGTTGAAAATTGGTCGAAAATTGGTGGTATTTTGCATATTTTCGTGTATTTCAAAGACGATTCTGGAAAAACCAAAGGAATAATCGAAGAAATGATTGCCGATATGACTTCTGCGGCCCGAAATCTACAAGAAAATGTATTTAGTGAAATTTCGAAAATTACATTGAAAATTGGTGGAAAATTGGTGGTATTTTGCATATTTTCGTATATTTCAAACCACGATTTTGGAAAAACCAAAGGAGTTATCGAAGAAATGAAAGCGGGAGTGACTTCTACGGTCCGAAATCTACAAGAAAATGTATTTATTGAAATTTCGAAAATTTCGTTGAAAATTGGTGGAAAATTGGTGCTATTTTGCGTATTTTCGTATATTTCAAAGCACGATTTTGGAAAAACCAATGGATTTATCGAAGAAATGAAAGCGGATATGACTTCTGCGGCCCGAAATCTACAAGAAAATGTATTTAATGAAATTTCAAAAATTTTGTTGAAAATTGGTCGAAAATTGGTGGCATTTTGCACATTTTCGTGTATTTCAACGACGATTCTGAAAAAACCAATGGACTTATCGCGGAAATGAAAGCGGATATGATTTCTGCGGCCCGAAATCTACAAGAAAATATATTTAATGAAATTTCGAAAATTTTGTTGAAAATTGGTGGAAAATCGGTGGTATTTTGCATATTTTCGCGTAATTCAAAGGACGATTCTGAAAAAACCAATGGAGTTATCGAGGAAGTGAAAGCGGCCCGAAATCTACAAGAAAATATATTTAGTGAATTTTCGAAAATTTTGTTGAAAACTGGTCGAAAATTTTTGGTATTTTGCATATTTTCGTGTATTTCAAAGGACGATTCTGGAAAAACCATTCAAGTTATCGAAGAAGTGAAAGCGGATATGACTTCTGCGGCTCGAAATCTACAAGAAAGTGTATTTAGTGGAATTTTGAAAATTTCGTTGAAAATTGGTCGAAAATTGGTGGCATTTTGCACATTTTCGTGTATTTCAAAGGACGACTCTGGAAAACCCAATGGAGTAATCGAAGGAATGAATGCGGATATGATTTCTGCGGCCCGAAATTTACACGAAAATGTATTTAATAAAATTTCGAAAATTTTGTTGAAAATTGATGGAAAATTGGTGGTATTTTGCATATTTTCGTGTACTTCAAAGGACGATTCTAAAAAAACCAATGGAGTTATCGAAGAAGTGAAAGCGGATATGACTTCTGCGGCCCGAAATCTACAAGAAAATGTATTTAATGAAATTTCGAAAATTTTGTTTAAAATTGGTCGAGAATTGGATGTATTTTGCATATTTTCATGTAATTCATGGGACGATTCTGGAAAAACCAATGGAGTTATCAAAGAAATGAAAGCGGATATGATTTTTGCGACCCGAAATCTACAAGAAAATGTATTTAATGAAATTT